CTTATACTTATTCTCATATCTAATAGTTAATATTTACTCTTGAATTATAGAAAAATTGGAAGCAGAGTCAATGTTGTTGTTGTTTTTCAGCGTATTATATCTTTCTCATCAGTCAGGGACCAACCTCCCTTTTCTTTTCTAGTGCTGAGGAATGTAAACAAGTTTGCTGGGCCTTGCGAGACTTCACCAGGTTGTTTCGATAGCTCACTCCTGCACTGTGCCTGTCACCCAGGTGAGTGGTATGTTGTTCCCAGCTTTCCCCTGGCTGCCAGGAGTGCTTGGGTTGGGGGTGGGCATACGTTTTAATGCCCATCATGGGACTAGTACTATAGCTAGAGTCAGGGAAGGACCTGACAATTTAATCCTGCTGTACAGCTGGGAGATGCAGGGTCCTGATTTTCTTGAGCCATGGCAGCCAGATAATTGTCAGCTTCTTTTGGATGCTCTTTTCACTTGTATAAGAAAGTTACTGTTGTGGAATATCTCAAAAAAAAAAAAAAAAAATTCTCCTCTCTTTACCTTATAGACACTTCTAGGGTGGTAAGTGTGTATGGTTAACAAACAAGTATTTTTTTTAACAGTGCTGACCTAAAGTTGACCGTGGTACATGGCATGACTCATCTAAAACTGACCTTTCAGATTTAATGAGCAAAGATGCTTATTCTAATTTGAACACTGAAATGCCAGGTTTTGACTCAGGCAGGAGGTATAGGAAAGGAGCTGACATCTCTGTCTAGCTCATGATCATCAGTTTTCTCCATATGCTTCCTATCGCCTGATTTCTGAAGCAAAGCAAGAAGCTGAGCTAAGGAAAGAAAGGACTGGGTAGAGGGACTTGGGTTCCATTTTCTTGACTGAGAGAAGAAAGGTAACTTTCCTCTAAGCCTACCCTCTGACATTTTAAGCAGAATTTATTCAGTCAGGAGGTAATTCTCGATGCATGTATAGGACTCTGGTAATTTCTGTGATTAAATGCATTAGTAGGTGAAAGTGCTGTTCAGCAGTGCCTCACCACACCAGAAATTATTTCTATGTTTTGGTTCTTTAATGAGTAGTGATAACCTTTAGGATCCTCAGGTTTTACAGTGTCTATAAAAGCTAACATTGATACACGTTGGGTGAACAGTGAATGTTCATAGCAAATATTCATGGAGCCCTTACTGTGTATCAGATACTACTATAAATGATGTATGTGTTTTAACTAAGATAACCCTCACCCAGTTCCCTGGGTTAGTTACTGTTATTATTCCCATTTTACAAATGAGGAAATTGCGCTTCTAAGACGTTAAACAATTTGCTTGATGTCACAGTCGGTAATTGATAGAGCCACAATTCATATGTAGACATTCTGGTGCCAGAGTCCTCATTTTTAACCACTCTCTTTAGCACTTTACAGTAGTACTCTTTCCAGAGAGCCTAAATCATTGGTTTTTAAACTTTTATTTGTGAAACTCTAATATTTAAATAGACCAAAGTGGAGATTTTCTGGTTGGTTTAGAGTGGGTAGCATGGACCTACTGGCTCACCTTTACCCCCACATATCATTCTGAATTTCCACAGGACCCTCAGGATTGGAAAAGCACTGCAGATAGTATTTCATTAAAGCAGTAGCTCCCTTCAAATCACAAGTAAAACTTGAATTTCTTTTTTTTACTGACTTCTTATGGCAGAGACCAGAATAAGGTACCTGAGCAAGTATAGAAACTTCTGCCTTGACTTTATAAAATGCTTACTGTCTCCTGGACCACAAGTATTGACTATCTTTTCTCTTTTGTCAGGAATGTCTTTTTAAATTAGAAGACAGGAAGAAAACAAACCAGACTGTGTCCCACAATCAGAAACCTCCATTGTGGCAGAGGGGCCTTCACCGCCACCAGGGCGCCCACCAGACAGGGAGAGACTCCAGCCTTCCGAGGCTATCCTGAGGAGTTCCTGTTTGGGGGTGTGAGGGAAAATCAGCACAGTTTTTAAAAAGATGGCTGCGGGCCTGTCCGGCGTAGTGGGAGGGGAGCTGGTTTCCTGGTGAGCTTGTTTCTAAAAGGAAAAATAATTTTAAGGAAATAAAAAAGGAAAACTAAACTTAAACCAGAACTGAAACATTCGCCTGGTAGCAAATGACACACACACATACATACACATACCCACACACACACATGCTCACACGTGTGTGTGCACACAGAAAAATTAAAGTACAACCTTTCTGTGAAACAAGAAAAACAGTTACTTAGGGAAAATGGGAATTCAGATGAGATAAATAGCTGCAATGGAAGATAAGGGTCAGGATCATCTTACGGTTCTTTATTGTTTTGCCCTCTCTCTCATCCTCCCTTCTTTCCTGTTTCCCCTCCTCTTTTAACAAAGTGGATAGAAATTTCCCCCGTCCTCCCCAGAGTTGTTCGAACAGGGAGGAGTAAGTACAGAGCCTGTTCTGTTCTATATCATGGTCACATCAGTGATAGTGAGACCTGCCAGGGCCAAAATTCATGTATGTCCCAACTCTGACCACCCTCTCCAGTCTCTGATCCACTTCCAATCCACATTGGGTTGTTGTCAGCCTTGGAGAAAAGAGCCAAAATTGGGGTGAGTGGGATATAAATGAATATTCTAAGTTTTAACTTTTTTAAGATTTTTTTTTTTTTAGTTAATATTTCACCCACAGACATGAAAAAAAAAAGAGGGTGGGAATATGGAAAAAAGTGTTTACAGGGCTAAGTGTATTTTACTAAAAAATGTGGAAATTATTTGACTTTATGGGGATGAGGCAGGAAAGGGAAGCCCAAAGCAGATCTTAATGTTTTAAAGGCATTGCAGCCCTGCACAGGCACTAAACATGAGGGCACTGTTCTGTCTGGTGTTGTAGCCATCTCAAGAACAAATCAACAACAAAAAAAAAAAGAAAAAAGAAAAAAATAAATTTTTAAAATTTAATCAATGTTTGTTTTATTTTCTTTCACTGCCTCATAGTTCTGAAATGGTACAACTGGACCACTTCCATGAGCAGTCTTAGTTAGTTGTTATCACATCATCTGTGTTTGAAGTTTAAAAGGCAGGCCCCTGTCCTTCATGCCACAGACACTTCGTATTCCAGGGGAGTGGTGCATTCTGCATCTTTTATTCTTCTAGTTCTCCCCAAAACTCTTGCGTTACATTATATCTTTTCACATAGCCTCAGTGGAAAAGAGAATAGGTCTCTTCAGCATGTTAAACAGCAATACGGTGTATTCTTTCCACGGTGGCCACCGAGTAGATTGGTGTTTACTAACCTACTGAGTATTTGGTCTTTAAAAAAAAACCTGTACTGAAGTATAATTGACATACAGTAAGCTGCACATATTTAAGGTATGCAGTTGATAAGCTCTGACAATAGGATACGCCCATGAAATCATTAACAATCAAGACAATGAACTTGTTTACTCCCAAATTTCCTCATGCCTCTCCCCATTCTCCTCCATGCCCAAGTAGCCACAGGTCTGCTCTCTGTCATTATAGATTAGTTTCCATTTTCTCGAGTTTTAAATAAATGAGATCATATAGTATGTTATAGTAATTGGGCTTTGAGCTAGTGAACTTGATTGCAGAGCTGCATCTACTATTTGGAATTGATGAAACTTTCCTGCTTAACATCGATGCTACTCAGAGTTTTACTCTCTAAAGAGGCATTATTGGAAGGGGAGGGAAAAACTTGAATATAAAAGTGTTTCTAGTGAGATTATCAAATTCTGGGCATCAGCACAGTACCCCAGCCATCTCTCATTTTCTGGGTAAACAAAACTGAAGCCTGGTCCAATCCTGGGTTCTTAAAACGGCCAGTTGCCCTTGCTCTGTTTGCTTTGTTTAAGGATTTGGCTTTGATCACAGAAAGTTGTATCTGGACTGGAAAAACGTGTAGAAGACTTAACACAATTCTCCCTGGCCACTGAAAAATTGCACGTGGAATGCATATCCCAGTTATGTAGCTCATTAATGGTGTCAGGGCCTCACTACTTACAATAAGTTACAGATCACTTCAGACTAGTTCTTATAAACAGTTGTTTTTGGCATAGCAAGAATACCCACCTAAATTTTAAGTTAAAAGGGAACTTTGGGATCAGGTCCCCTCAGTGTTTTCCTGCATGGTATCTAGTGGAAGAATGAGAGTCTTGCCCCTGAGCTTACCTAAGGCATAAAGTGCTCACACAATTGTCTGTTCCCTGATTTCTGCATTGGCGTAGCCAGAGAATTTTAGTCATGATTTTGGGGACCATAGATCACCCATTGGGGCTATACCCAGCAAGATTAATACTAAAGAAAAGTAACTTGTAATTTTTATGTTCATGTTCGATGAAGATAAGTAACTCGGAATGTAGGACAAATAAGACATTAAGGAACTTGAGCTTTTGAATGGCATCGGTACCTCATGAATGCAGTGTACATGTCCACCTTGTGTGGCCCCAGTTTAACTGAATCTTCTGCAAAGATTAAAGCCATAATCCATGATTATGCAGTAAGGTATGCCTGATTTTTTGAGACACGTTATCAGCAAATGAGAAAGCTGCTTCCAAGAATGTTCCTTTTACAAAAATGAAAACCATCAATATCCTCTCCTCTATGAATAATGAAAATTTCTTTATGTCAATGAAAAGCTAAATTAGAGGAAGGAGTCTTGAATTAGAAGGGAATATTCAGTCGGATACAAGGATGAACTCCATTGGAAGGGTTTGGAGAAAGGAAGTGAGGGGGAAATTTTCTGTTGGGGGCTAGAGGGATGCGTTCATCCCCAGGGCCACGGACATCAGTGTTCTAATGGATTCCAGCTTCAACCCTAGCAGAGGCCACCAGCACAGTCAAAGGCCACCACCAAGCAGAATTCTAGCAGAGCTAGGGAGCAGTAAATTGCAACACGCGTTGTCCTGCCTTTAACCTCTGGAATGAGTTAACGTCTGTCGCTCCTTTCGGGTAGCGTTCATCCACAACAGGCTACTGCAACACAGATCTGTATGAAATGACCGCCAGGTATGCTGTTTTTCATTTTCATTTTTGTTTTATTTTTTAAAAAGTCAAAAAGTCGAAGCCCAAAGAGGATTTGCAGCAGCCACTGAGCTTCCTGCAGTATTAGAGAAATCCATCTACAAGTAGTCACCTAGTGCAGATCTTCCTTCCAAGATTCCATAGTTCATCTATTCTCGGGCTCCCTGCTCCACTGTTCATCAAGGGTTTCTAACCCAGATGCCTTCAGGGACAAGGCAGTGAAAGGAGGGAAGCAGGCTGGGAGAGGACTGTACTGAACTCGCCCATCTGAAGTTCCAGCTCATTATCGCTATTGGAGAATGTAATGGGAATGCTTCTGTATTTCCCAATTCCCTGAAAGAAGCTGGAAATCAGGTGGGTGACATCTACTAATCTTAAAGTGTTGACAACTTATTTCAATCTAAAGAGGAAATAGAGCTATACAGGCCAGTGGGGAAAAGTGCTAACCTTGGTAAATGATTGAAAACTAAAGACAAAAGGAACTGTACATAAACACTGTGTTCTAGTCGGTAAAGTTTCTTAAAGGGTATGGGTTAACAATTCTGAAACCTCTGTGTGTATGTGCAGTATGGAAAAGGTGGGAAGAGGCGTCACCTATGGTAGAGAAACCTGACAAACACTATCTTAGCCAGGTGATCACGAAAAAATCACGGTGGTAGCATGTGCCCTCAGTGTGATGATGTGAGAATGACACTTCACCTCTGTGGTCTTCCTTACAAAAACCATGAGAAACGCAAGAGATAAACCCAAAATAGGGGACTTTCTCATGTGTGCCCTCAAAGTCAAAAACAAGGAACCTCTGAGAAATTGTCAGACCGGTAGAGGCAAAGGAGACATGACTAAATGTAATGCGATAACTTGGATGGGATCCTGGAACAGAAAAAGGATATTAGATAAAAACTAATTAAATCTGAATAAAGATTGGAATTGAGTCAATAATAGTGTATTCATACAGATTCATTAGTTGTGACAAATATACCATAGTAACATAAGGTGTTAGCAATTGGGGAAACGGTATGAGGTATATAGGAACTCTCAAGTAACTTTTCTGTAACTCTAAAACTATTCTAAAATTTTTTTAAAATCCGCACAGGCCACTTAACCACACAAAGACGCTTGGCCTTGCTCATAATGAGAAGTGGCACTAAGATACTATTTTTGATCTGTCAGGTTGGCAAAAATCCAGAATGTTAGTATAGTTTGTTGGTGTGATTGGGGAAACAGGCACACTCAGGTTTAATAGGATTTTGCCAATATCTAGAAAAATTACATATATTTTTCCTTTGGCCCAGAAATCCCATTTCTGGGGCTCCATCCCAAAGATACACTGGCAAAACTATGAAAAGATGAGTATGCACAAGCCTCTTCACTGTAGCATGATGTATAATAACTAAAGATGGAGACAAATACCTAAAACTAGGTAGTTAAAAAAGCTCCATTCAGTTGAGCCTCTAGAATTCAGAGTCTAGATCAAAGTACCAATTTACAGGAAATACAGAAGACAAAATACGTTAATAGCAGAGCAGCCAGCATCTAGGCAAAAGCAGAATGCAGAACAATTTGGTTTCTTCCACAATTAAATTGCAATAAAATTTATCTAATGTCTTAAATTTTTAAACAATAGGTATTTTATAAAAGTTAATGTCTTCACATTAGATGTGATGATATCGTGGTTTTGTTTTTTCAGAATGTCCCTGTCTTCTTAGAGATACATGCTGACAACACAAAATGTTAGGTGTAGGTAGGATTTGCTTCAAAATAACCTCAGGGTGGGGGTGTGGATGGTAGTTTAGATGAGAAAGACTATGAATTGGCAATTGTTGAAGTTACTACATGGGGATTTCATACCATTCTCCCTACTTTCACAAATGTTTAAAATCTTCCATAATAAAAAGATAAACAAAATTATTCAAGCCAGAAAATTATATCTATGAGCCAGATTCAAACAATGAGCTACCAATTTACATTCATTGTCCTAATATATTTAATAGCGTGCAAATATACAGAAGGATAAAGATTGCGATGTAATTGAAATACCAGCCCTTTTTCATCATTTCTTATGGGAAAATTGATTTGGACAGGATTTTATATTCTGCACACATTTAAAAATCCATACCCTTGCTTTAGTCAGCTTCCTCCTGGAAAGCAGCCAGCCAGGTGAGTGTTTATGAAGGCCCCGCTGACTCATCAGCCTGGAAGGCAGGCCCTCTCTGTGTCAATGGCACCAGAGATGAAGGGGAGGTGCTAGGAGGAAGGGCCAGCTGGCATCAGAAAGAGGGTCTAGTAGAATAGCATGGAAGCAGCTGGTGCTGGAAAAAGTAAAAGAATAGCTGAATGTTTTTAACATTTATTAATCCAAAAATATATAAAACTCCACTTTCTACCCCAGGTTCTTGGACTCTCAAGAAGAGGTAGCTGCCAGCCTTAAGTATCTGGTATAATACCTAAGTGCTCATATCTGTCTCAGGAAGGAGAAAGATGAAGTTAGGCTCAAAGTCAGGCCCGTGCCCTGCAGAGGCCCTGCTAAGGGGACCGGGCCCAGAGCTCTTAGCTCTTTCTGCCAGAGGAAATGAGGGCATGCTGGCGCAATTCCCTCTGGACAGCGACGGCCCCGGAGTCGGAGTTCCTTGTCTGCTCACTGGTGTCGATGGCTGAGTTCTTCCAGAGCCAGGAGACCAGGGTGAGCAGAGGAGAGGCATGTCCAGAAGATACAGCCCCCATAGCAAAACTGGCTTCCAGCTTCCTTTGCCTTCTGTCTGCAGGGAGAACCTGGAATTTGGGCCTCTCTTTCCTCTATTTTGGCCCAAATACACTTCCCGGAGACCCAGAGATAGGACCCTGCAGCCAGTCAGATGCCCCCTGGGGCTGTCACACCTCCACATTAATCCATGCAGCCACCCAAGAAGCCTAGTTCAGTCACTATCTGCAACCTCACTGCATGCCGGCTGGGTGCATGGGCCAGGCCCCACCAGCAGGAGGGGCCTGGGCCACTGGCTGCAACTGCTGCTGAGACTGCCAGATGTGATGGAGCTCCTTGAACTGTTCCACCATGTGGTCTTTGAGGTCTGGGTTTGAGATCTGTAGCCGGATACTATCAGCCGACCAGGAAAGCTCCCCTGAGAACATCTCCAGCAACAACCGAGCTGCTACGGGCACCACCTGGGGAGCAAAGAAGATCCAGGAGAGGGAGAACCTCGTCAGGGTGGTCAAATCCAGTTGCGCGTGAGGGCATCCACCAGGGGACGGGCGATGGGCCGCATACACCAGGAAGAAGCGGCACCACTATCTACTTTGGACAAAGGCGACTTATGTGTGGACAGCCCTGGGCCTTGATGATATCCAGCCACCAAGTTCACACTGCCCAGAGAGCCCTGAGTCTCCACCGTGGGGCGAGGGCTTGTCTCAGGAGTCCCCTTTACTTAAGCCAAAGCAGAATTGGGGGGTTGGGGGGGTTGGGAGATGGTAGTATACCTGTACAGTGATGAGCTTCTTCTCTCGGGGTTTGCGGTCAGGCCACTCCTCCCCGAAGCAGAAGAAGATTTCAAACGGTGGTGGGGTGTTGGTCTGGCCCTTCTGGAACAGGATGAGCCCTACAGCGAGATCGAGACCCTCAGAGGCTAGAACCATGCCCCCGATGATAGGAGCCCAGGAGGAACACAATGTGGGGCCCTCACCATTGAGAAAATTCTCCAGGCTGAAGAGCTTGGTCTTGACCTCTCGCTGGATGGGGTTGGGGTGTGACCCATGAGCAAAGGCACAGGGCCCACTCCAGAACACCTTGCACTGGCACAGGCGGATGGCATACAGATCCTGACCTTGCAACTGGAGGATGAGCCCGCGGTCCAGGACATCCAGCAGCTGGTTCGTGTAGAAGCGCTGCTTGTCACTGGGGATGTCCTCAGGGCTGGGGAAGCGCACTTGCTCCAAGCTCACAGGGCCAAAGAGCTCCACCTGCTCCTGGGTGGCCTCTAGCTGGCTGTAGAAGAGCCGGCAGCCATGTGGGTTGCTGATGGTGAGGGCACGGGGTGGCCGCCCACGGTACTGGAACTTGATCTCCAGGTCAGTCACTGTGGGGCAGAGGGGCAGGACTTCCTGGTCTCTGAGCCCCAGACCTCCCATTCTGCAGTTCGACCGACTTTTTCTGCCCAGTGGCTAGGTCGTCTGCTCAGCACTCCCACTTACTTCCCCCCACCCAAGGAGGGACTGGCATGGGCATCTTTGTTCTTTTCTTAGCCATCCTCCATCCTCTTTGCAAACCAACCCCCCACCACCACCACCCCCAGCACCGCTTTACCCTGCCCAGCCAGCCCCTGGGTCCTTACGAGGCAGCATGTGAGGGCTGATCAGCAGGTCGGGCAGGAGTTGTTCGCTTGCAGGGGGCAGGCTGGCAGCCAGGGCCCCGTGCTGCAGGCTCGGCAGGACCTCAGGGAGAAGCTCCCCATAGGCAGGGGCAGGGCCCAGGAGGTTGGGTCCTGGAGCAGGGGGGCCCAGCTCTGCAGGAGGCTGCAGAGTAGGTGGCCACTTGACATCCTCTTTGGGTAAAGAATAGGGTGCCATGGGGGGACCAGGGTGCACTGCTTCTACAGAGGGTAGGGGTGGAGAGAGCTTTAATGCAACTTCTAGGAACTGCCTCCCAGGCTCACCTACTCCCGGCCCTGGACCTCCGCCCATAGCCTCCCTTCAACCCCCTCCCAGGTACCTATGGTACCTGCAGCTTCTCCTTATACTAAGCCCCCAACCATACCACCTCCCAGCCCCACCTGTGAGGCTCAGGCTTGGTAACATCCTCTGGAGCTGAAGGGAAGACACAGGCAAAGGAGGAGGGAAGAGGCCAGAGAGAGAAGGGAGGACAGGTTATTAAATTGATCTGATGCTAAAGAAAACACATGAGAACCACAAGGCAATTCCCTGGTCCTCGGCTTAGCCGAGGCCAGACCCTGCCTCCAGCCCCAGGTCTGCCATCGCAGGCAAGTCAGTGAGCTGCTCAGTCCCTCAGTTTCCACATCTGCCCTCTGAACAGGTATAGCACCTACTAAGCTCCAACTTTTGTGAGAGTCAGTCAATCAAAGTGTGAGCACGTGTTGAACCGACAAAGCCCCCGAGGGTTCAAGGTGGTGACTTTGTTTCTATCCTCAGAATCCCGGAGAAGAAACTCAAGAGTAGAGCTGCAGGGAGAGCAGCAGGGCTCCAGAGGAATGGGCTGCCCGGTCCTAGAGCAGAGGACAAGAGAAACGCCCCTGCCAGGCCCACGTCAGGGCAGGCAGAGCCCCCGCTCACCTCTTCCTCTTCCTCCTCCTCCTCCTCCTCCTCTCCTGCACCACGCGTGTGGTCCTCGCTGGGCTGTGACTCTGCAGATGGAGGGAGAGAAAAAGGAAGACGGGAAAGGAGTCAGTGGGGAGGAGGTGGAGGGCCACCGGGGTCCACATAGCAGCCCCTGCTGTAGCTGCACAGCCATCAGGAACCAGTAGGGACCTCTCTGACCCCGTGGCGCTCAGCTCCCTAGGCCACCAGATCTGTACTGGGAGCCGGGAGCCAAGAACGAGAACTGACTAAGGGAGATGAACCTAAAGCCCTGGTCCATGCCCCACAAGTGGCCTATCCCCAGCCACTCCTTGGGAGCGCGTGCCCGACCACTGCACAATGGAGGGCACTAGGCCTCCCTGCACCGCCTCCTACGTGGCCCACACAGGGAGGCATGGATACCTGCGGGAGCAGGGCCATTGGAGCAGACCTCGTAGATCTTGTAGGGCTGAGGCGGCATGTCCCGGGGCCCGTCATAGATGAGGCGGAAGTCACGGCTCTTGTTAAGGGCACAGCGCAGGTTGGCCTTCCACTTGGCCGGATCGGCCTCGTCCACCCCCTCGGTGTACTTCCCCGTCTCCTTGGCCCAGGCCTGGGGCAGGGAGAGAAGACAGGCAACCGCAGAGAACCTCGCCCCTCACCAAAGCCCAGCCCCTCCTGTCTGATGGGAGTTGCTGCTGTGCAGGGAGACCACGGACACCCTGAGTGCCCCTCTGCAAGGTGGGAGATATGACACCAGCCCTTCCCAGCCCTCAGGGAAATCGAGGTGCTTTGAAAGGCATTGCTTTCCCCGCTCCTGCAAGCGTGAACAGGTATAATCTCTAAGGAGGACAGTACGACATGGTGGACAAGAGTGTGGGTCTGGAGCAGGACCGGGTTTGAATCCGGAAACTGCCACCCGCCAGCTGTGTGCCAGCAGCACATTACTTTGCCTCTCTTTGCTTTGGTCTCCCCATCACAGCACCCACCTCACAGGGTGGCCATGAAGACTCGAGGGCCCATAAAGCTCTCAGAACTAACTGCGCCTGCATTTGGATGGGCTCCGTACACTTTAGCTATTGGTATCATTATTTTGGAGGGCACTTTGGTTGCTGTCAGGATTACAAATGTTTCTATCCCTTAACCCAGTCATTTGACTTCTAGGAATTTATTCTATAGATACAGAAGCATCGACTCAATTCTGCATATACAAGGTTATTCATTGCAGCATACTGTTTGTGAAAGTAAAAGACCCCAAATAACTGAAGTGCCCATCAGTGGGTGCCCGTTAAATTACGACCCATTCTAAGAGTGAAATACTAGACGATTAAAAAAAAGAGGGAGCTTTTGATATACTGACATGTTGTAATCTTCAAGAAATACGAGCTATGGGAGAATACGCATACGTCTCTCATTTTGTGGAAAGTGGAAGAAAGGATAGGTACATATTTGCTCGTCTATGTACAAAAAACTCTCGCAAAGGATAAACAAGAAACTGATAATACTTATTGCCTCTAGGGAGGGGGTGGCTGGCTGGGGACAGGGACAGGAGGGAGACTTTTTCCTGCAAACTATTTTATGCTTTTTAAATTTTGAGTTGTATAACTGGGTTATCTATTCAAAAATAAGCACATTTGAAAAGAACCTTGAAAAGGTAACTTATCAAGTGCAAAAACTAAGAAACACACATCCAAAGCTTTAAAAATAAGCATTCTCTTTGACCCAGCAATGTTTAACTCTAGGAACTAACCCCAAAGAAAATCATTTAAGATGTACAAAGGGTAAGAGTTTAGAGGGTATACCTGGCAATGTGGTCTTCAACACTGAAACACCAAAAGCATCCATCACCTGGGACTGGGTGACTAAACTGTGCTAAACCCCTCCAATGGAAATTTCGGCGGTCACTAAAAGTGACGTGGCATATATTGGAGAGAAAATTTGGTCCCAATGTTGGGTGAAAAATGTGAGTTACAAGATAGAATACACAGTCTGATTCTATGTTTGTATCTCATGAATACATGTGCAGAAGACTGAAAATATAAGCAAAAAATAATCATAGCAGTTACCTCTTGGTATTATGACTACAGGGGAATTCTGTTGTCTTCGTTCAAGACATGTACATCGAACGTGCACAGTGCACACGTGCTCACGTGTAATGAGTACGAGACAAGAACGAGGGGGAGGAGGAGTTACAGGAAGGTCTCTTGGGGACCTCTCAGTCCCCACCTTGCTCCGGGGAGCAAATTAGAAAAGATATACCCTGTGGTCATGCCTGGGTCCCCTAAGTCCACACGTAGGATCACATGCAACTGAGTGGCCAGTCTGAGATTTGGGAGGGGGGTCCTCTTCTAGGGAGGGGGTGCCTCAGAGGTCCAGGCAGTCCCTCATCCAAGGCTTACCTTGAAGATGGTGTTATCTCCATCCTGGCTTGGGCCGTGCCGTGTGGCATGTCGCCAGGGGATGTAGAAGAATTTCCTTTCACCATTGACCCACTGAAGCCCTGGGTACTGGCAGCTGTTCACCTGGGCCACCAGCCAGGGCTTCAGCCGCACACGGCGGGGCGGCGGGAGGGCACCTGGGGCGGGCTGGTTCATGGTCTGCAGGAGAAAGCAGGGCGGGGCATTAGCAGATTTGCAGCTAAATGCTCCTCTGGCAGAGGGGTGTGGGGGCGCTCGGGGGCCCAGCCGTTGGCTGTTAGGGCTTTCATTTCCTCCCAGCACTGGGGGCTGGAGTCTCCCCTGTCCCTCCAGGTGCTCAAAGACAATTCTCTTTTCTAGCCTTCAGCTTTCTTGTCACAGGATCCCCGCATCTATGCTGTGTTTGGGGACAAAGGAAGGAGGGAATTACAGCTGAAGTGGATGCTGCGGGTGCCCCGCCCAGAGGTATCACTTCCCCAGCTGCTGTGAGGCTGGCACAGCACAGAGGCATAGAGCTGTCCATTGCGAGACCTGCCCTCCCTGCCCGACTCCAGGCTAGGCCCACCCCTCCCCACAGGGGACAGCCAGTGACTGACACACAGGGACAAAAGGCCGGTTCCCTTGCTTTAGGTGGAGCAAACTGGTGCTGCATGCGCTCCAGAGCTCCCCGAGGGGTCAGGCTGAAGCCAGCCTCCAGCTGGGTCCACACCCTTGCTTAGCATTCTCCCTGCTCCCCTCCCTCACTAAAGCACCCTCTAGGAAACCTGGCCCAAGACCGAGGCAGACATGTGAATGGAGGGAGGGTTTCTACACCCAGTCTTCGCAGCCTCCTTTCTGCCTCAGTTTCCCTCAGAAATCAAGCTTTCCCCACCTGGACATCTTGAGGGAAATCTCATCAGTCAACTCAGTCTACCTCCTGTATCACCAGGACAGTGGCCACCAGACTTAGAGCCTATCCTTCTAAAGCCATCAAATTCCTAGACTCTGGTCCCTCCCCCTGACCATTCAGCATTTAGTAAGCACTTAACATTTGCCAGGCCCTGTGCTGCCCAGAGCTGCAGGAACTACAGAGGCGAGGTCTAACGGCTGCCCACAGGGACCCAGTGCCAGCTCTCCAGGCCAGTCTCTGCCTCCCTAGGCGGAGGCCAGCGGGCCACGTGGAACCCACGCCTCCTCCCTCCGTCTGCCAGCCCCTCTCCAGACTTGAAATTTCTCTTCACTGTCCTGAGGCCCTTCCTGCTCAGTTCCATCCTCAGGTTTCTCTCCTGCCCTTGCCCTTAACCTACAAGCCCAGAATCAGAGGTGGAAAGGACTGAGCCATCACAGAGCCACCCATCTTAAGACCGAGGGGAATTTGTCACTCGGCAAGTAAAGAACAAAGGGCTGAGCAGGATGAGATGCAAGGCTGCCTCCATGCCGGGCCCTGGTAGGTGAGTCGGTGGCTGGTGCGTGTGTGTGTGTAAGAGGGCACACTGCCCCAGGACCACGCTTCTCTCCCACATCCTTGGTATCTCCATCGCCTCAAAAGACCCTCACAAGTAAGGAGAGGGGGTGGTGGCGATAAGGGTGGCATAGGGATGGGTGGGCATGTTGCCTGGAAGGGTGACGTGCAGACAGGTGCCGACACTTGCCCTTGTGGGGTGGGCACACCAGCATTCACATTCCACTCTCCGTGGCACCATGGGTGGCCCCATGGGTGGCCTTGAACTCTTTTCATTGAGATCAGTAGGTTTGGGACTCTTACTCCACCTTGCATTGACCCTCCCTCCATCTTGTTTACCTTCCAGGTGGGCAGGCAGCCTCCTCAAGGGCAAGACTGTCTCCTGTTCTCTGCTCCCACACACTCCCCTCACCCCAGCACCCTACCATTCACCGAACCAAAGTAGGACTTAAGAAATACCAGCCACCTGGTACACCCCAGATGCTGGAAGCATTCTGTCCTCCGGATGATCTCCCGCCACCAGCCCTGCTCTCTCCAGGACCCTCTTCCGGGTCAAAGGGAGTGAGACTGGACCCAAGAGGAAGGCTGCTGAGGCTCCAATGCCGGCTAGGGTCCAAGGCTGGCAGGCCTCTCAGGGAAGGAACGGCTGAAGGAAACGGGGTATCGGGTTGGTGAAGTGAACACTCAGGGGTGGGGGAGGGGGATGAGAGCCATCCTTAATGTTTGAGGTACCACTGTGTGCAAAGGGACTAGGGTTTGAGTCAACACCAGGATAGCCTTCACTGACGAAGATGGCCCAGGCTGAAGAATTTTCTAACGGCTAAAGCCATCCAACCAGGGCCGGGCTGCTGCCTGGGAGGTCCTCAAACCCCAGGGGGTTTCCTGGCCTGCCTCGGTGGAAAGTTGACTGCCCTCTGTTGTTCCAGGTTTGCTTTGGCCTTGGAACAGTGAGCCTCAGTTTCCCCCGAAATTCTCTGCCTGGTACCTTTTGGGGTTGTGGCTGCTAAGTGCCACATCCTGCAAAGAAGTCTCCATCCTTAGAGCAGTGCCCAGCTCCAGGCTGGGCCAGGGAGGGTGGGAAAGCTCCTGCCCTGCCCCCAGGCCTCAGAAGATGGACGGCTCAGTTCCCCTTTCTTCACCAGCCTCCACCCAGCCCCAGGGGAAATGAAAGTGGCCAGACAAGACAACTCAGAAACCTGACTCACTGAGCTGGGGGAGGGAAGGCATATGGAGATAAATTCTCATTTGGGTCCCCCAGACCAAATTCTCAATCTCTCACCCTGCAGCCCATCCCCCAACCCCCAAGTCTGCTGGCGGTCACCATACATTTAGTGTGGTTCATAGCATTGGGTAGCCTTCCTCCCAAAGGCCTTGCTCTTAGAATAGAGGGGTGATAGTCACCAGTCACAGGCGATTCCAGCTAAGTGAAAGTGGATGGAGGAAAGCTCTGTTGACACAGAGAGAAGGCAATCTTCCCCCAAAGACCCCACACACATGGTTGGGCCCGCAGCTGTGCCAGGGGTGGTGCAGCTGGGAGACCAGAAAGGCCGACTCCTGTGCCCAGGGCAAGGAGGAAATCTGGGTGAGTCCCACTGCCTGGTCGGCCCAGCACTGCTGTTCAATACAAAGGTTTTTAAATTATAATTCTGGCCTCATGTCAGTATGGCACAGCCCCTTCAGGCAGGCCAGGCAGGGCCAAGGGAGGGCCTGCGCAGCAAACCTCAGAAAGGTCTTCAGCCTCAGGGAGTGTTGCCTGAAGCCAGGTGTAGCAGGACCAGGGTCAGCATCAGCTTCCCAAGGTGGCTTCCTCCTTCCCCAAGTGGGTTTAGATTTGATTCCGACCATCCTTATGCCAAGAATTGTGAATTCCAGTGCCTTCACGCCCTATCCCTATTTTCCCTCCAGATGGAAACAGTTGCCCCGATTTCCAGGGGACCCCAGAAGATATAGGGCAGCCCTCAGGAAGTCCCTCCTACATCCCGCCCCACTGCTGGAAAGGGATGGAGAAGGGCAGGGCTGGTCAGGGGTCTGCCCCACTCCTTGACAGCGGAAGAGGTCTGCAGTCTCAGGGGTGACATTTCTGCAGCCTCAGACCTAGCTTTGTGGATGCTGGAAAGTGGGAAAACCCGGCAGCGCCTGCATCAGCTTCCATGGGACGCCGAAAGAGAAGTGGATGCTGAGGACCCGAGGGAGTCTCCATACAGGAAGCAGCCAACAGCCCCTCTGGGGTCGGGGTGGTCCCACAACTCATGCCAGGGCCCTGACGTCCCCGGAGGAGCCAGCGACTTGAGGAGTCTGGAACACTGTGGGCACCAGGGGCCCCTAGAAGAGAAAGTACTGCAGCCCCCTGGTTGTGGGCAGAGCAGCAAGCCCCTTGCCACCTCCCGAGTTTGATTCACATCGTCTCTCTCCCCAAACCCCACGCCAAGTTCAGGGAGGAGGCATGGGGGTTCCTGCACCCTCGATACCCTACATTCCACCTCCCCCACGCGGGTGGATCACACCCGGAGACCAGCGAAGGCTGGGGGGCAACAGCTGCCGCAGGAAGAAGCCTCTCTCAGTCTCCTCCCCGGGCACTGTGGGGGAAGGCCAAAGCGCAGGGGGGAAACCCCAGAGTCAGGCCTTTCAGTAAGAAAAGGTGGTTTCCAAGTGCCTCCTTAGACTTGCTGGGAGTCCCCGCGCCTCGGGCCAATAGTTCAGGGGAGGTCGAGGCCTCTGCCTCTGACCTGGCCGCTCCCTTCGGAGAGCCTCTAGCTTCCTCCATCTGCCCTACCCCGCGTCTTCGCTCGACCTGGTGACTTATCCCCGCTCCGCGCGCAAGAGTCCAGGCCAGACCCTGCACTGGGGACAACAACGCAGGTTCCGCCTGCAGCGGGTTGCCGCGGAGCCACCCCCGGGACACTGGCTCGGGGTCTGCTTCTCGGACAGCTCCTCTGGCGGGTGACACCTCCGCCCTCTTCCCCGCCCTGCTGTGCCCAAGGTGTTGGCGAGGCCAGGAAAGTTCCCCCATCCCCGCCCCGGTTCCGGGGCATCCGCTCCCGCCCTTGGGGGTCCTGGAGATCACCGTGTGGGGTCCTTCGCACGAATTCGCCATCCCGCAGGGCACACCGCGGCCACACTAGTCTCTGTTCCTTCACTTTGAGATTCTTAATTGTTTCGGTTTTAAGTTCCAGAGAAAGACGAAGAGAAACTAGTCCAAGAAATATTACGTCCCGTGGTTCCTCCTCTGCTAGGAGGGTCAGCGCCTTCATTTGTGGGCCGCGAGTCAAAAAACCGCGCCTCTACCTGACACCATCTTCCTACACACCCTCTGCCCGAATTCCTGCCATTGGCCTTAAGATCCTGGCAGGACGAACTCTTTAAACCTCATCCTCTTACCCGAAAGGGTGAGGGGTGCACGGGGGAGCGCACAGAAAGGACAAATCGGGGTTCTCTCCATGTCCCCAGGTACTCCAGCCGGGCGCCCGGGCGCACCCATCCTTGCCAAGGCGAGACGGAGGGAGAGAAGCAGCAGAGCTGGCGCCTCTGGCAGCAGCGCCGACTCCACCACCGGGCCTCGGGGCTCCCGCGGCGCCTGCGGAACGAAGGCTGCTGGTGCGGGGCACCCTATGGTGATCGGGACGGGAGAGACACCCTGGAGGCTGCCAGAGCGTCAGGGCGCGCCCTACATTAAGCGCCCACCCGAGCTCTGGCTCCAGGCGGGC